AGATTTTTCTCCTTGGAGACATTTTTGTCTATCACTGTCTTCCATTCTTCAATTACCATAACACTGCATGTTTCCAACCAGACCAGCTTTCTGTAGCTTATTTATAAAATTTTACTTTACTTCACGAGCCAGTCAAAATGTCTTTTTTTCAGATCAATCACTCTAACCTCTCTCTGTGTTTTACCATTACCTTATTTGTCTCACCCTGGACCTTTTCATATACCATTGACAGTCAGTTTCAGTGGTATTAGCCCTCATCCATAGAGCTTGGTAACTTGCCCTTGAGGGCTGTTGCCTCTCAGATATGTTCCATAATCACAGATAATCTGAAGCGCTGCTCAACATGCTGTGCATGAATAATCCAAATTAATTAAACATTTTAATATGCCTATTTCTGTGTTATCAGCTATAATGTATTTGATGTTATCAGGAATCTTTATCTGGCCTGTAGGTCTTGGGATTTCAGTTTTGTCTCAGCTGAGCTACAAATGCCTATTTATTAAAAAAAAAAAAATACTACCTCAATCTTCCTCGGGGATGTCCCTTTATTTATATATATGCATTTTTTTCTCTTCGGGTGAACCATTTCATGACATGTTAAACAACACTTAATGCTGGTTAGAAAAAAAGGTGATAAGTCAGGTAACATTAGTTTAGGCTCTGAATTCAGTAAAAAGCTATTTCAGCAGATATATGGAGGATCCTGTTGGGACAGTGCACTGCCAACATCAAAACAGAGACAAACCACAGGATATTAGTCTGTGAGCCAATAACAGGTGTGTTATTGAAAGGAAACACAAGACAGTGCTCAATTTTGTCTGACATTTTTCTGCTTACTGTAGTGGTATTGAAGTAAAAATATATCTGGGACATGTGTTCAGAATAAAAATTCACCATTGTTGTCCCTTTAAAAAACTACATAGAAGCTTTTGTTGCATCCTGATCCAAAGGTTAATTCATATGTCTGTGGAGTGCTGGTGAAAAACAGCTTTGTGTGTCACTGTGGCTTGGATTTCTCAAATTTTAACAGTAATTAACCCTGTCTGGAACTCAGTTTCTGGCTTTGTTTCTATAGCAGAATCTCTCTGTGTGTTTATGTGCTAAACGAGAGGAAACTCTGCGTCTCCCTCTCTGTGTCACGCATTTATGGTCATGCAGACTGACATAAATTGTTATGCAAAAAGAAAAAGAGTTAACTGAACATTTTCAAACATGTCAGAAGATTTATGCAAATGCACGTGTGAATGGGCTTGCATGTGTTCCCAAGTGACTGCAGCTATTAAGGGTATTTGAGCTTGTGCGCGCATTAAGAGATCGCATAAAAGAAAAATGTCTTTCAATCATTCAAAACATGTAATGGTGGGGAATGTTTTTCACATGGTGGCGGGACTGTGAAAAGGCTCCCAGGGTCCCATGACTCTCTGAAGTCACTTAACATAATTTACCACATATGTCAAATAAGACTGGAGATGATAATTGAAGTGACCTCAATTTAGGAACACTGCAGTTTGCAGGCCATTGATTTGCATAAAGAGGGAGAACGTTTCAATCTCTCCTCCAAAAGATGGAGAATATGAGCCCGTGTGTGAGTGGAAGGAGACCATGGGCATATGTGAGAGTAAGAATGTAATGATTGTGACTCTATTATGACCTGAGCTGCTGTTTCTATCGCTTGCATGGGATCTGAAAGGATTAGGTCATCTATCTCCTTTCTAGCTGTCTCTTGTGCTGTTCAGCTTGTTTCATTTTATCTCTCTTTTCTTCAAATCTAAACCTCCTTCCTTCTTATCTCCTCAGTTAGCCACAAGCCTTTTTTTTTATTGTGGCTGTTTTAAAGTACTCGATGCCGTTTTTCTCTCTGAAGTCATTTAAGATGTAGCTGATAGCTAACGAAGCAATTACACATGGCAGTCTTGTCGCCTCTCTGTAAGAGATCAGTGGAGCCTGACATGCCTGTATATGTATATATAGAGAGATATATAGGCTCTGTGTATAGAAACCGAAGGTAATGGAGCAAAAATCCAATTCTACCACAGTGTAGTGGTAATAATTATGACGGATCTCAGGTATTTGCTACTATTATTATCGCTCGATAGCTGTATGCATCTGTGTGAAGTATGATGGGGATAAAGTCAAAGCGGATTGGTGAAGAAGAATCTAACAGGGAGATGAAGAAGGAGGAAGTCGTAAAAGAGAAAGGCGCTCAGAAGAATACATTAATTAAGTAAAAAACAACAATAACAAAAAACCCCAAAAGTTATTAATGAAACTGTGAGCAGGCCTAGGAAAGCTCAAAGAGAAACCGTGAGGAAGAACAGAAAAGAAAGGTCAGGTTAAGTGGTATGCTCACATGAAACCAGTGGTATTACTATAATTAGGGGAATAAGCATGTATTGTTAATGGTCCGGTTAGGTCAAAAAGGCACACAATAACATTGATTGCAATTTAGCTGGGCTTTTTGAGGACTTGTCAAAAACAGAGAAAGCTTTAATGCAGAACTGTAGTCAGGTACAAGAAAAACACATTAAACTTCATATGGCATGATTAATATATATGTTCTAAAGATGAAGTGTGAGAAGGGAGATGATCTATAATTTATGCAGGAATATAACCAATGGTAATTGCGTTTGGTTCCAGACTTAGACTTTTTTTTTTTTCATTTTTTTATGGGAAATGTCATGTGACTTCACCACCTATGTTAAAATACAAGATAACCACAAAGCAATTTATAAATAACGGATCAAAAGTTTCTATAAGGAATGTGGTCCCTTTATTTGTTTACACTTCTGTAACACGGGTCACCAGACCTCAGGGGTGGTTAAATAAATATGTTACAACATTTCAGCAGTGAACAGAACACGTGGGTTTATTTGAGTTTCAAGAATTTTCTTTTCAGCAAACATATGACAAAGCTTATACAAAAGCTTCCTTCTCTCTGTTTGCTCTGAAGTGTAAATGACCCAGAGTCTATGAAACTGAGGAACTTTATCAGTAATTCATACAAATGAAAGAAACTGTTTCTGTTCCTTTTATTTCACTGCTGTTTTTTACTTTGCCATTATTATTTCTTTGAAAATTATAGAGTGCGAGCCTTTTTCTTCCAGCTTTCCTTTCTGATGGCTCAGTTTTTTAACCATGATAAAAAAATTGGATGTTGGTGACAAATATATATTTTTATTACAGTATTTTTTTTTGCAATCATTTTTTTATTATTATAAATTTTTGTAGTATATGTGCACCTAACACATAACAGTTATTGGCTTGGTCTACATATTTTAGAAATTTAGAAAATTATGCAGTAAGGTCAACTTTTCTTCTTTAAAAAAAAATAAATCTTTTGATTTAGACTGATTTAAGTTACTTTATTTTACATGCTGTACATTTTACTTTGCAAATAAAACAAGACCTATGTATCACTTAAGCACACAGTACAAAAGAAAAAAAATGACTTGAGTGAGAGAACCAGATAGCTTTCATAATATTAAGTATATTTCAATTAAGTATATTCTTTCTTAGCTTTTTTTGGTAAGCACACAATGCAGAGGAGAAAGGAAAAATAACAGCTCTTGGTTTTCATTGCAATCAGCATGCATTGGTGAAACTTCTGCAACGTACCCACATTTGCATTCAGGGACTACAACTAATTGAATGGCTGATGTATTGGTGATAGTTCTTTTTCTGCTGATATACCAGGATATTAATTTCTTTTCTAGTTTTTCTTCTCCGTGGATTTATATACATAAAAAGGTTCCAGCAGGACTTTCCTCTAGCTTTCTTTTTCTGTTTCTGAGTGAATATTTCAGTATATTTCACTATATTTCCAGCCGTACACACTGGCCATGTATGAATTTAATTGAATCCCTATGACAAATGAACAAATGTTCAGAGAATTAAGGGAGACTGTGGCAGGAATACTGTATAACAAGTGCTTGAATTCCCTAAGAAGTAATTATGCTCTGCGATTAGGGAATTGTGCCTTAATGTAATTATCCTGTGCTTTAAAGATTAATTTTGTCTGTGATGGCATGCTGTGTTATGTTGGTGCCTCACCACATTATCCATAATCACAGATCACTGTTATCTGTGAAGACAGACGCACTGTGCATACGTGTCTGAGGACATCATTTTTGTGTCCTGTTTCTGTAAGTGTATTGGAAACAAGAACATGGACTGAGAACGTCTTCAAGCAACTCACAGAAGTCCAGACGCTTTTCTTTCCAAGCTCCTTAGACTACGATGACCTGGATGACTGAGAACCTTCACAGCACTGTCCAGTAGAAAGTTATCAGTATTATGCATAAAACAAGTAATTTAAGTAGTAATTTATTTATCAGCGGTTTTTCACAGAAGTGTATTCTTTACCACAGACGTATAGATCATCTTAATAATAAAAATCAGAGATTTGAATGTACAACATCTTTTTTTTAATATAGCCTGCAAAACACAACTAAGTGCACACATACACCCACAACCACACACTTGCACACAATCCATGAACAAACAATGTTATGAATATGTGCGTGCATGGCTGTCTTTTATGATGCCTGTTAAAATTCATTATGCACGTATCATTACCAGATAGCATTTGAAGATGCTTCTAATGAATCCAATTAACACCATGCTTTATTGAAGGGGAGGCGAGCTGCAGTGCTCAGGCTTTACCCGACGGGTGGACAGAAAACATAAAAAATGAAAACACAAAAAAATCATTTGTTCTGTTCAAGACGTTAATGGCTTGGGAAAGAAAGAAAAAAAGAAAGACAGAGAAAGAGAGAATACAGGTATAAATATGAAAGAGCAGCTGGACTATGCTGCTACAGGGGTGACATGCAAAATGAAGAAATACCTGTGTAAATATGAGACACCATTTAGAGACTAGGTGCAATGGAATTCCCCAGTAAATCCAGGAATTATGCAAATCTACTCTACGCATTTGAAGAAATTATCCTCCCTTCACCCACAGTAGAACGCCACACAGAGGTTCTGTTTTAACTACTTACCCTACTGACTCCCCGTCCTCTATCTTCTCCATAATTTGTGCCCAAGATTTCAAAGAAGATGTTGGGGTTAGTGCCGTTGTCAGTGAACTCCAAGAAACTGGTCAGGCCGCTCACCCCGAACTGCAAGGAAAAGATTTAGGATGTGTTATTTTTGGTTTATCTTACAATTATTGTTGTTATCGTCAAAATTACTGTAATTATTATTGTGATTTTCATCACTATAATGATGTCAGCTTTTGTTTTGTCACTTCTCCCTACAAATCTTAGAAAACTAACAGTTTTTTCAGCAAAAAAAAAAAGTGATGGTAACTGTACACAGCGAAACCGAGACACGTATGATTTTTACATCACATTCACATTCATATTATCACAGTCGTAGGTATTGTGTGTGACATTTGACAGTGATACATAATACAGGTGGTCTCTTGTGATTTTTTTTTCTCATCATGGAGGCATTACTTTCTCAGTTACTGTGATAGCAAAAGAATAAACATTCCATTTCACCTACATACACTTTAGTAACCTTCGGTGAATGGACCAGAGCATTATTAATCTGTAGCGTATAAACTGCGAGTCTGCAGACAGGCCAATGTCATACCTCGTGTCATTTTTAGGGATAATTATTCAAGTTACTGTGGTTTCGCCACGCGGATAAATTTGTGCAACTGTCAGACGCTGGAGAAGGACTGAAAGGGCATGCCGTTGTCTCATGCTGCTGTCATATATTCAGTGGGAAAACTTCAGCTTCTGTTGATGTTTGTCAGGATAGAAGTTACAATGATTTGAACTGATGAAAGCAACAACTGTTTATATTTTAGGAAAGTCAAATAAATGCGCTTATGGTTAATTTCAATAAGGAAGATCAATATTCACTCATCTGCCTGCTCTACAGGGTGTTAGGCTGCTTTTCTGTTTTCTACATCACTTTCACTTTTCCCAGCTGTCAATCTCAATACTGACATCATCATTCTAGTCCAATCGTCTTTTTACCCGTCTTCTTTGGGGCGATCAGCCTCCAGTTTGCATAGTTTAAATCTTTGCTCTCCGTCATTCTCGCTTTCAGACTCTCATTCATGCAACCCACCTCATCCCCAACTTCACCTCACTGACACCTCAGTCAGAGCTTTTCATCTTCACCATCACCAGTGTCTAGACTCCCGGGGGTCCTGCAATAAATCCTTTCACGGCTGATCGGCGGAGTGTAATCGCCATATACATTAATATCTCTATCTAAATAAACCAAGTTCAATTCTTTCAAGTAATCTCTTTTTATTGAACCCTCCTTATTTGATATCTGATGTCTGAGTTATAGAATAGTGACAGTCTTCCCAATTTTTGTAAATAATATTCTGAGAATTTGCAGTAATATCTCTCTTTCTGTACTCAAACACACCAGATGTATATGTGTGTCTGTCATAAGCGTGCATACCCCTAATGCTGATATGCTTTGAAGAACAACTAGTTATATTAGTATGTCTATGGCACTTCATAAGATATGGTAATGTGCTATTGGGATTACTAATCTATGTAAATATTTTATTCACCTGGGATGAGTGCACGTACTTAGACGCACACTCAGTATATTGCATGTTTACATCTCTGCATCAACAGCTGAGGTTGAAACTGAGCCCTTAATAGTCATTTAGGAGAACCTGGATGGAAAAGATGTTTTATTAAGTCTAAGAAGAGAAATAAAATAACAGCGAAATGAAAAAAAAAAAGACTTTTTAATTTTTGGATGCTTGACAGAACTAAGATGAAAGTAACAGCGTATGTGTGTTATAATAACAGCAAAAATAAATTGAGAATCGTTAAGCCTAGATTTGAAAACAGTCTCCCAGGTGCTGCAGAAGATGTAGGGGCTGGGTCACAGGCCTTACAATGCCTTTAAAGTAATCAATAAAATTTTAAAATGAGTCCTAAACCTTAACAGTTTATGTCGCAGAGATTCAAAGGTGAAAATGTAGCAGGCAATACATAGTCTTCTAAGCACAAACACAACACGCACTTCAGGTGTAACAGCAGCATTTATTCTCCACTCTGAGTTTGTCAATGAACACCAGACAACAACATCAATAGAGCTCCTCATCAACACCTGCAAATTAGTATTTATCATTACCCTATTGGCCCCACATACCAAAACACTGATTAAACACACAGCCACGCACAGCAAGTAAAGAACACTGCTGATACAGTGCGAAATGGAACTGATGCCAGGCTGTTGAAATCAACTCTATTACTGCTTAGGGCTCTTTAACAGAGCTCTGCTGAGACAGTCATCAAGGTTGGTTTAGCAGCCGGGGCTGGCTGATGAAAGTGTTGCCAAACCCCAGCCTGATCGCAAGGTGAAGTGCAGAGATAGATATGAAAGCCATTGCGCTGCATTTATTATTGTCTGACACTAATCCTAAATTAGCATTTCACTTGGCTTCATCATTCAGTCAAACTGTCATCCCTGGAGTATTTTTTTTTATTATTGATATCAAAACAGGGGGCATTGATCCAATTGGATTTAACAGTGATGAAAGTGTTGCCAAACCCACGCGTAAACTCAAGGTGAAATGTTGAGATTCCTAAAATCACAACTGCAGAATGAAGTCCTCTACCTGCCAAAAGCCAAATATGCAGGAACTGAGAAGAAATTGCCGACTGGTGGATTTACTTTGTTCATGCAGTCCTTTGAATGCACGATCACTTTGTGTCTAAGGTGTACTCAGGACAAAGGTAGAAAGCTATCATTAGATTTATTGATAAAAAAATTGATCTCTCTGTGATCAGAACAATATAAAAGTTAAGACAGAGTTTTTTTCAGAACCTTATCCATTCGCATTCTTCAGTTACAGGTGACTCTAACGTATTAGTCAATTTAGCTATGACTACATCTTGCTGTTTCAGCCAAGGAAAAATAAGAGCTGTAAAAAGGTGTCTTGAATTGCAGATTAGTTGTTGTTGTTTCAAAAAGAAGGATAAATATCATTTGATTTTTTTTGAAAGAGATTGATTCATAACATTTATTATTATTATTATTATTATTATTATTATTATTATTATTATTATTATTTAGAGATGGCACGATACCACTTTTTTATGTCCGATACCGATATCATAAATTTGGATATCTGCCGATACCGATATGAATCCGATATAGTGTTTTTTAATCAACAAAACTTGGTTTTTTTTAATATCTTGCTGCATTTTGTATAAGTTCATACTCAAGTTTAAAACAACAACTACACTAAAGCTAATCTGTTATACCTGTATGCAAAAAAAATGTTTCATAGTTCAGCAATACTGATCAATCTAATAAACTTAAACCTACACCATCCTCCCTATTCTGGTATTTTAAAGAGTACTTAGCGTAAATATTAAGCAACCTAACTAATAGGGTTCCAACTCCCAGCAACAAAAATAAGTAAATAAAAAATGGGGAACCACCCCTCACACTCCACCTCATGATGCTTAATCGACGTAATCAACCTTAATTTGATGCAGTGTGAAAAAAAATGCACAGAAATCAATTATTTTTCAAGAAATATTAAATAGATTCAACATCTTTCTTCAACAAAATTGCAGACTGCACAGATGGTACCTTCCCAAAGGAAAAAGTACTATAGCTTACTAGGGTATATATATTAGACTTAATAGTTACTATATACAGTAATTGACTTCTATTCATTTTACATCAAATTAAAACTTTGGGTGTCAGATAATTATTTATTAAAAGCTAGACATTTTAAATGAGAATAAGAAAGAAAAGTATGTCTTTGTGCCCCCTTTTCCCTGTTAATGCCCTGTCGGCCCCCCTGGCTAAACTTTGCTAGATCCGCCCCTGCACAGTTACCAGCGTCAGCTACGTAGAAAAAGATCCTGGTGTAGAAAGAAATATTAAATAAATTCTAACAACAGCTTATCAAGCTTAAACGTGCTGCTGTTGTTCAGCCGCTGGTTTCCTCTTTCTGGTGCAAAGTGGGCCAAAAGCAAACTAGAGACACGGACTCACGACAGAAAAGCTGATCAGCTGATCGTTAAGCAGTTTCATGATTGAAGTAGCAGCAGGAGAGGCAGTCGCTTGTTAAGCTTAACGCAGGAATGCTTTACATTCAGAGATGGACTTACACACTTGCTTTACTTCTCTCGGGGATAACTTTGTCGGAGATGAAATGCCGGGTTGCTAGCGAAGCTCCACATGCTATCTAGACCACCGACAGGTCCTACATGCCACAGCCGCTCTATCACGTGATGCATACTGCTCCGACGTGCTAACGTTCTGAGGTGAGTTACGGCGTGTTGCAAGTTTTGTGAGGTGCTTTCGTGATATTTAATGGATCGGATTACATTTTTTATTTTTCTCCGATATCCGATCCAGTAATTTAGGTCAGTATCGGACCGATACCGATACGTAATATCGGATCGGTCCATCTCTATTATTATTATTATTATTATTATTATTATTATTATTATTATTATTATCCCAGCTACTATAGGACAAGATGCAGAATACACCCTGGACAGGTCAACAATTCAGTCAACCTGTCTTAAACTTGTGATAGACACAGGACTAAGTCAGAGAGACAGATGAAGATTCACACTTACATTCACACCTGAGCAATTTAGAATCACCAATTAACAGTAAGTGCAAACATGCAACCCACACAAACATGGGAAGAACATGCAAACCCTACAGAGAAAGGCCCCAGGCCAGATGATGGCGTCTAACTCAGGACCTTCATGCTGTGAGGCAACAGTGCTACTATTATTATTATTGCTGTTATCATTATTATTACTATGATTAATATTATCCTGGGTTTGAATACACCATCTGGCAGGGGACATGTAAACTCTGTGAAGTTTGTTCTCCCTGTGTTTGTAGGGGTTGTGTGGTTTCTCGCCAAGTACTTTCTGGCTGGCTGGATGGATGGATGATTATTTAAACAAAGATTTATTTTCTTCAAACTGGCATATACACACATATGTGCATACTGCAGGAGAGTGATGAAATAGATGGATTGTTTAAAAAAAAATAACAGAAATATTTTCCTGGCTGTCCTTGGGATAGTAAAATTTTGAATAAAAAGCCAGGAATTGTGCTCATTAATAACAAATAAACAAATAAATAAATGTATCTGGCAAAGACAGTGACACCGCAAATACTGAAATATTATGAAATAACGCAGAGATTTCAAATGTGAGAAGGAAATGCAGGCAGCACTGATAGTAAAAAGCATTGAGATGCCAGGGGGGTGTGGAGTTGCAGTGGACACAGCTCATTGGCAACCCTTGGGATCCATGTCCAAAACATTATTCTTAGCACAGCATCCGAATGTATAAATTGCAGATGCCTACAGTGTGGGATACTTCATGCTGATCTAGTGTGTCTGGTACCTCATAATTTCTAAATGTTAAAAAACTGATGGTCTAAATCCAAAAGCACTTCAGGACATGAGTAAATGCCAATGTTTTGATGAAGACAAAACAGTCAAGAATTTACAGTCTGGGCTGTCCATGCTTCAACACACACTAGGGCTACTGAAAAAATCTCCAGTGAATGAATATGCAGACTGTCACAGCCTGCGTGAGAGATGGGGGATCGTGTGATGGACACAGATTAAAAAGAAATTGATATTCAGCATGCAGAAACTGTGCTCCTCTTTTCTCCTGTAGGAGTTGAACACAGGGTTCACAGGGTGTATCACACAATAGATTTGGTCTAAACATTTTTGATGACCCTCTTCTGCACAATGAAATTGATCAAGCATTCAACTCAGGAGCAGAATTTGGAGGGTTTTATACTCATAGCCATTGGGAAATGAATGCTAATGAAATATGGACAATGTCAGAAAACAGCAAACACTTTTTTAGCTTGTTAAACAAATGGTTAGGCTCTGTTTTTTATATACATAATGACAGTGTAATATGCCTTTTTTATATTCTGGTGAAGGTATTGCAATAAAAAACTGTGGTGCCTTACTGCTCTTTTTATGTTTTAAGAGAGCAAGTCTATTATTGAGTGCTGTGCACTAATTTGTATTTCGTCTTAGCACCTAGTGATATGCTACTTTTATAGCATGTGAATCTGAATCTGTTTCATTTCTGCATTCGAATCAGTCTGTAAGGTTTTATATGTATGTCTGTATGGTTTTAAAGTTGCACATTTGGGTGCAATGGTGTTGGATTTGAAAACCCATCAGTTGTAAATACAAAAGCTGTTTATTAACCTCAGCATGTGACTCATCTTAAACTGGATTGGTTCGTTTTTTTGTTGAACTGCGTCCTGACTTACTCTGAATTAATGCAAACACAGTTAAAGACAAACTCTGTGTTCAAGCTGGCTATAAGTTTAGGAGCCTAGATCTATTCTGCTCTTCACTGACTGCACAACTATCTGAACTAACATGCCACAGATTTCAATCAATCAAGGTTTTATTCGCCACGTGCAGGTTGCCCTGAAGTGAAATAGGACCCCCATCCCCCCCGGACCTTACACACACAACACAGACATCACATGGGGATACAGGTCGGAGATCGGTAGCGTTACAGAAAAAAACCACTGAAATATACACTACAATGGGAAAGTACAAGAGGAAAAAAAGAGACCTCTACTCATGCTGGGCTCCTGGGAGGACAGCATGAGAATAGGAAACAAAAAAACTTCTCTGCACAAAAAAAACACATAAATGTCCACAGTACAACATTATGGAACACGTGACAAGCCACAGGGTCGGGTGGGGGGTGAGGAGTAATCCGAAGCAAACACAGCAGCCATCCTGCCCAGCGCTACCATTCCAGCGCGGGCTCAGGAGGGAACAAGCATCGAAGGCGTTTGGAAAGGGAGGGAGAATTAGTGTGTGCATATCAGTGTATACATATGTGTGTGCGTGTCCAGAGTTCAGCTGAGACAGTGTCCTTCGCCCTGGTATGCTAAGTAAACAGTTTTCCAGCCAACCCAGGTGGCCTTGCATGGAATGGGAAGGAACAGACTAAACACAGTCATTATCAGGGTGTTTTTGTTCGGCTCCAACCTTGCGACCACAGCTGGCGCCGAAAGGGTATCCGCATGAAGTGATGGTGCTTTTTACTTTAGTGCGAACAGCTCATATGAATGATTTTAATATTGGAAAGAAAATACAATGTTTTATGGAAACTGAATTGGATGTTGCAACACGTAGGCTTATTCTGTGATAGAACAGGTGTTCTATGGCGAGGTCTGTCTGCCATTCATATAACAGTATACGGCTCTCACCGTGGTTTGCTAGAGTTCTAAAGGGTTATGAATGCTTTTTGACACCTTTCAGACTGATACACTGATAATCTAAGTGGATACACCTTGAGGTGACTTTTGTTGTGATTTGGCGCTATATAAATAAAATTGAATTGAATTGAATTGATACAAACATTGGACAGCTGGCTGTATTTGTGAAGTAGTTAGCAGTAAACAAATCTCTGGATCTTATTAAACTGGGATCAGATTTAATAGGATATAGTTGTTTTCTTGACTAAAAGCCACAGGAAGCTGTAGGTACTGACTCCATATTAATGTCTTAAATGTATCGTACCTCACGCACCATTAATCTCAAATTAGCATACTAATTATTAGCCATTCTGGTTGTTTCAACCTGTCAGGAAGCTATTGTTTATTTTCACCAATAATCACCATCTTCACTGTCTCTGCTTGCACTCCTGTGACACATGCACTGCATTACTGCGTGAACTTCTCATTAATGGTAATTGATGTGTTTAAGACATTGCGAAATGAAGTGAACAGAATAAGTTGCAAGTAGGCTCCCTAAAAAAGGTTCACAAGTCTTTAACCACATATGAAAAGTTCTTACTGTATGAACTGAGGATGCTTGCTTGCAGAACAACAACCAGCTTACCTCTGTGCCTACATCTGTGTATACTCAGGTAGACTCACCAGAGCAGCCAAGTACACATTATGCTTGCACACTTGGTGAAGCACCTTCCTGTAAGCCTTGAGAGGAAAAAACACAGTGTGAATTTCTTCACCATTTTATACCTTTTTGACAGTATCCAGCATACTCTTGCCTCCCTGCCATGGTTTGGAGTTCTTCCTGATGCAGCTCAGACTGGCCATGCTGTGCCATTTCCTGTCCTCCAACTTTCTGTGGAAGGTATTGGCCAGCAGTAAGACTGTATCATAGATGTAGCGGTTGGTGATCTACAGAAAGAAACATAAAAAGGAAGATAAAACAAGGCAATGCAACTTGAATTGTGTGAGAAAATAAAGACAAACTTGTAATCAGTAATAAGTTTCACAAAACAAACAGTCCAAGCCTTTCCAGGTTAAAATGCTATTAAAATTAAACAATTTATTTCCGCACAAATTCAGCAGCTTCTTGATCAAAAAAGAAAAATATTACCTTGTCTCCTTAAAATCAACAGTATACAGCCTGACTACGCAGCCAACATTGTTTTTGGGTACTTCTTATAAGTAAGAACAAAAAAAAAGCTTTCAAGATTAAATTAATTAATGTACTGAAAGGTCATTGACACCAAAACAAAAACAAGTAGGAGACAGGAGGAGTCCACTCATTCTGTGATTGATCATTGTGTAATGTACAGTACCAAGCCTCTTGTCTCTGTGTAAATGGGAATGGGGTAAAATAAATGAACTACAATGAATCCACGCCTACACACAAAAAAGCAAGCAAGCAGTGTGGATCCACTCACATTAATGGACAAATGAATACAATCACACAACACAAGCAGAAGCCTTGATCTCTCTAATATTGCATTTTGTACACCAAAAAGAGGCTTTGAACACAATATTTTTTTAAAATATATTATACTACACAGTGTTTAAATCTTCTTCAACTTTTTGCCCAGTACTTCCATTGCTGTGAAAAAGTATTTGCCAACATCCTGATTTCTTAGTTTTTTTTTAATATTTGTCACACTTAAACGTTTCAGATCACCAAGCTGATTTTAATATTAGACAAAGATAGCCCGAGGAAATACATAATGCCCATAGCTCTGAATGAACTTTATCATGAAAAAATCCTGTACTAGTTTTAGGCAAAATACAACTGGACAAAAACTTTCCAAAAAGTTCAACTTTTGTCTCATTAGTCCACAGAATATTTTTCCCAAAAGTCTTGGGGATCATCAAGATATTTTTTGGGAAATGTGAAACGAACCCTGGTATTGTTTATGGCCACCAGTAAATTTCTCATTGGAACTCTCCCATGGATGCCAGTTTTGCCCAGTCTCTTTCTGACTGCTGAATCATGAACTTTGACTTTACTGAGACAAGTGGGGCCTGCAGTTTTTTAAATGTTGTTCTGGGTTCTTTTGTGACCTCTTGGAGGAGTTGCCGATGAGGTCTTGGAGTAATGCTGATAGACCGGTCACCAATGTTCCCTCTAAGCAGCGCACGTGCGCAATTGCGCACTGCTGGCACGGTCTCTGCGCACAGGAAATCTGTGTTGTGCACAAAAGAAAAAAATCTAACCTGCATTGAAATTAAAATTAATACTTTTAACAATTCTGTTTTGCAGTGTTAGTCAGTAAGTGACTGGCTGCTCCCGTATGGGATTAGAATGATGCCACCTTATCCCATAGTCCAGCCAATGATGCGATTCACATTCGTATATATGCAGCTAATCAATGTGGTTGACAGGCTATGACAGCATCCTTATGTGCCGACACCGGTGTTTTAGCGAGCACAGCGGCGTGGCTGATGTGGAGTGAAGCCACGTTAATGACGTGTACAACCATTGGAGATGTGAGCAGGACAGACGGAACAACTGACGGAAAAAGTGTGGACTTTATACCAGTTTTTAAATTGTGTTGATAGGCCACGTAAAACCAGAGTTGTGATTAGGGCCGCCACGATTAGTCGACTAGTCACGATTACGTCGACTATCAAAATCGTCGACGACTGATTTAATAGTCGACCCGTCATTTGAAGCTTTGTAAGATCACAAAAGACGCAGGAATAAGTAGTAGGAATTAAGAGTGTAATAACGGACTGAAACAGAAGATGGCAGCACTGCATGTACAAGGATGCCAGCTGCCGTTAAACCCCGAAGAAGAAGCAGTGTCCGAGAATTCATAGCGCAGTCCAGCTCAGTTTCCAACAATGGCGGCAGCTAGTTTGTTTTAATATTAGTCTTATTATTCTTTCTGGGTCACAAAATTAAACGTTTAACATATTTTCAGGCGAGAATGTAACTGTATAAACCTCAAATATCTGCTCAGTTTATCAAGACACCACATATTTTCAAAAGTGCTCCGACGTTTTTGGAGACGTCTGTTACCCACTAGCTCGATAGCTAGCCGGGGGCAAGGCTCACTAGAGCCTGTGAGAACACCGGACTCCCGGCAAATCTTTTTCAAACCCACCACCGTCTTTCGCTACTCAGGTTAAATATATATAAGTCACTTAGATAACTTAAAAATGTTATTGTTTGGCTTTTTTTAGTATTTTATTTGTTCCTGAGTAAATCGGTTTGGCTGAGATTAAAGTTATACATAGCAAATTCAAAAGTGTTAAATGTTTTGGTGTTAATAGTCTTCTTGCAAAAGTAGAGTTAATTTTACTCTAAGCAGAGTCACATTCTTTTAATGTAACTCTGAGGTGTAAAATGATAGTAGTTAAAATCGAGTGTTAAAAATGAGTGTTTCTATGTCAAATCTGGAGGTGTTACAATGGAAACATTAACTCTTGACCTCTTAACTCTGAACTCCGACAGGGGCTATGACACCAATAGAGTAAATTCACAGACTCCGCCCCCAGCACGGCTCCAATCGAAGCTGAAGTGAAGCCTTTTCAGAACATTTTGCTCTACATATTTGAGTTGTTTGCCATGCTTGGTAAGTCATTTTTTCAAAGATTGTTTCAATTATTATTATGAGCTTTTACTTCTGTGGCTCTTTGGAGTTGATACAAAGCTGTGTGAAAGGCATTAGCCATGTTGCTCGGTGATAGCATAATATTCTGTTTTAGCTAGCTGAAAGGTATTGTTTGCGGGCAAATACCACAGCCTTGAAAAAAAGCTTGCATGTGAATTTTCAGTCAAACCTTTGGTCAAATACACCTAAAACAATGTGTAGAATGTGAAATGTTGGTATAATGGTGCTACTTGAAGCCTGAAAACGATCGCCCATAAAAAACAAAACAAAACAAGCAAACAGCAGTAGCAGACGTCCTGACTGGGTTCTACGTTAGCATAGATCCCTCCAGAGTTTTGTGCACACGGTTTAGGTAAAAATGAAAAAGGTTGAGGTTTTACATTTAGTTCAGTATTACCTGTTGCCTGTGTCCTTGTCTTTTGGGAAAATACTTTACACAAGTAATGGCTCAAAAAGGATTCCTTTTTTTTTTTTTTTCTGTGCTGCAATTGTTTACTGGATTATTTGTGCCATTAATTAGTGTCAACTAATTTTTATTCAATCTCCGCACAGGATATGCTTGTGAAGATGGAATATGGGGGAGAGCAGAAGTGCGTTGAAGTTCCACAAAGGGATGAATGAAGGACATGCATATTGTATTGAAGAAATAAGTGATGAGAATGCTGTTATTTGCATTTACCATGTCAGACCTTTTGATAAACAAAATTCTAATGAAAGTGAGAACATGTATACTGTTACATCTTTCAGAAAATGTTTTGAAATTGTGGTGCACAGTTCAGAATAAATGTTTTTCAAAAACCATTGCATCTTTTTAGTAAATGTTTATTTCCAAAAGAAATTTCTAGAAGTTCAGAACAGTAAAATTCCCGCTTTTTAGAATGAATTAGAAGATAACTCTTACGTAGTTAAACTAAAATCCTCTTTGAGAGTTAATATATAAACTCTTAACACCAAGTGTTAAATTATCAACTCCAGACAGATTTGGTGTTTAACACTAAATCAGAGTTAACGTACCAACTCTCGAAAAAGAGTTAAATTAACACTCTCTGGTGTGGACCCATATAGACACTTTAATAGTGTTGAAATCAAATCCAACAGTGTTAATTTGGACATGCTGGATTTGCTGTGTAGTTTTTACACAGCTGTATAAACGTCAAGCAGACAACTGATTATCAGAAGTGTGAGATGCTCGAGAATATACTCCGGTGTCCTGTTATATTTTAGATAGCAAGGAGTTTATTAAACTTCACCGAAACAATCTGCAAATTTCATTAAAATTTAATAAACTATCATCTTGTCTTTATTTTTAGTTAGCACATACCTTACACACTTAAAGCTGTAAGCTAATGATAGTTATATGAGAGCAGATGCATGCTTGTGCAGTAAGCTGTAGGTTTTACGTCCAATGGATGCATGCTCTGATTAGTCGACTAATCACAAAAATAATCGGTGACTAGTCGACTATCAAAATAATCGTTTGTGGCAGCCCCAGTTGTGATTAAAAAAATATTCAATGTTTGGTTTTCTTCCTGAATACTATCGTTGCTTATATTTACTGCGGGTATAAACGGTAAAAACTGTGTTTTATAAGGAAAACGCTGGAAAGAGTGTGAGCAAAAACAAACTCCACCCCCCTCTCCCTTTCCTATTCGTCCAAAAAAGTACCATGTCGACCAATCAAAAAATGATATGGCAACGTGGCATCTAGTTGTTAAGAAACGGGGGGAAGTTTTGAGATGTGAGAGATTTTCGACGTTTAGCACAAATCTTGTGTAGTTAGAGTGTAGTATAGTGTTGTTGTGTGTGTGTCAGAACAATGAGGCGACTGCTGAATGTTACAGGTGTTACAGGAGTGATATATCTCCTGTTGTCAGGCCTGCAGGTATCAGGCTGTTGTTCTCCTTTATCTCATAGTGGACAGAAATTATTTTTTGGAGTGGCACAAATAATTTGTGTGGCATCAGATTTGATGCAGAACAGCTGATTGTTCTGTAAATAGTTTGAAATGTTTATTTAAAAATGCCTTGGCTGCATTTAAAAAATAGCTGCAAAAAACCTTGTTGTTTGCCAAACTGAGTTACTTTTTTGAAGAAGTAACTATATAATTAATTGCCCAGCATTGGTCATTATATACTATATTTTGCAGACAGAGAGTTACAGACTCTCTCCCAGACCACAGACTCATAATACAAGTCAGAGCTTTTTTTAAAAAAGAAAGAAAGTTGTGTTTTCAAAATTGGAGTTCAAGTTATTTTTACTTCCAATAGTGTTAACATACTGCACAGGTCAATGACTAGATTTTTT